TACGACCATCAGTTCTTTTTTTTTTATTAAAAAAAAAGTGTTTTATGCTTTCTCCTTGCACAAAGAAAAAGAAAGTGGTTGGAGTGAGGAGCTGGGGGTGGCCCATATGCTAACTTGTATTTCTATGATTCTGGTGTTGGAGATACTGAAGGTAATTTTGCTAGGCCCAGCTTATATTACAGAAAAATACACTTGGTGAAATTTAGTGTTTATGGTAAAAATATACAAGATTGTCACAAGGCTAGAATTGGTGAATGAATAGCATTAGTGAATGGATGAGCTGAATACTAGAAGTGAAATATTTGGAAAGCAAGAGGGTGAGTGCATAAGGATATGATTTAGGGTCATGGAAATCACCTGCCTAAGTGGCAGCCGGGCATGGTGGCTCACGCCTGTAATCCTAGCACTTTGGGAGGCCGAGGCAGGAGGATTGCTTGAGCTCAGGAGTTTGAGACCAGCCTGAGCAAGAGCGAGACCCCATCTCTACTATAAGTAGAAAGAAATTAACCAAACAACTAAAAATAGAAAAAATTAGCCGGGCATGGTGGCACGTGCCTATAGTCCCAGCTACTCGGGAGGCTGAGGCAATAGGATCATTTGAGCCCAGGAGTTTGAGGTTGCTGTGAGCTAGGCTGATGCCAAAGCACTCTAGCCCGGGCAACAGAGTGAGACTCTGGCTCAAAAAAACCAATAAGTGGCAAGTTACAGTTTAGCTACACAAAATGTACAAGCACACATAAGGAAAGTTGCACGAGAACTTCCAGAGAGGACCGAAAAAGTTGGAATGAGATTATCTGCTCTGTTCTGTCGCTTCATCTTTTTTTTTTTTTTTTGAGACAGAGTCTCACTTTGTTGCCCAGGCTAGAGTGAGTGCCGTGGCGTCAGCCTGGCTCACAGCAACCTCAATCTCCGGGGCTCAGCGATCCTACTGCCTCAGCCTCCCGAGTAGCTGGGACTACAGGCATGTGCCACCATGCCTGGCTAATTTTTTGTATATATTTTTTTAGTTGGTCAATTAATTTCTTTCTATTTTTGGTAGAGACGGGGTCTCGCTCAGGCTGGTTTCGAACTCCTGACCTTGAGCAATCCGCCTGCCTCGGCCTCCCAAAGTGCTAGGATTACAGGCGTGAGCCACCACGCCCGACCTTGTCGCTTCATCTTTTATTGCTCAATGTTCTTCTCTTAGGCAGTCTTTTCCTGAGATATTTTCATGTCATTAATAAAAATCATATCAGTGAATAAATAAGATTGGTTTATTTAGCACATTTCCTGAGCCCCGCTGTGGCCAGTGTGTGGCGGGACCTGAGTACACTCAGGAGAGTGGCATGAGCCTCCCCAAGAGCTTATGAATCATCAGGTTCTGAGAAGTGCAACAGAAAAAAAAATGGGTAGGGGAAAGTTGAGGTGGGGAAATGAAAATATGAGTTTCTCAGGAAAATAAGTATCCACAAAGGAATTTGCATTAATTTTTGTAGGAAAAGCCAGCTGTGTACAGAAAGAAAAGACAGTTGTCAGCAGTTCCTCTGTCCATTCATTTACTCACTGAGCAGTGCATCTGCCACGCGTCAGAGGGACTGACCACTCCTCGGGCAAGTGACAGCTCTGCTATGGCTGCGTGGAGATGGCTGTCAGAGAGCGGAAGGACATCTAACTCAGGGAGCCCGATGAAGGGCTCTTGGAAAGCCTCTCTTCTAGAAGCATTGTTAGACTTCAGGAGCTAAAGCCATTAGTTGAATAAGTGTAAGGAGTTGAATGATGTGAAGAAGCAATATTCCCTTCTTTCTTTCTTTCTATCCACCCATCTATCATTATTTGTCTATCATATAAAAAGGGACAAAAAAACAGTGAGATCATGGGGAAATACAAGTAGTTAGGATTTTCTCTTTGTTAGTGTTCCTTGTGCAAAGCCCTTTACAGCCAAGCATAGAGGTTAGGAGCTTTGGAACCAAACATGAGTGATGCTAGTCCCAGCTCTACCACTTACTGATTATGTGACCTTCAACTATTTATTTAACTTATCTAGATCTCAGATTTTCTCATCTGTGAAATATACATAGCAGTCTTGCCAAGCTCACAGATTGCCTATGCAAACTCACTTTTTTTGATGCTGGCATGTGGCAAGTGCTGGCTCATTTTTTTATTACCACGTTTGTTTGTTTATTCATTCACTGCCCTTCCAGAGGAAACTGCGGTTTAGAAAAGTGTCCTGGGTCACTGCTCATCAGCAAGGAGCCAGCCCTGCCATGTGGCCTCACACAGTAAGGGGGCTGGGGGTTGATCAGAAATGGGGATGGAGGGAAAGGCAAAGCCAGGTCTCAAAGAGCAGGTGGGCCCTGCTCAGCATGCTGAATTTTATCGTAAAAGGCAGTCTCTGTAGGAGTTTAAGGTGGAGAGTGACAAGGTCAGGTTTGCGTTTGAGAAAGATTATTGTAGTGATGTAAACAGTGGTTTGGAGAAGGGAAGGAAGATAGTGGAAAGCCCAGTCAGGAGCTGCTGTAGTATAGTAGTGCAGAGGCGAGTGGGACGTGCACTAAGACGGTGACTTTGGGGGGACGCTGGGGTTGGTGGGAGAGGGGGGAGGGGAGAGGGAGGGGCTCCGCTGCTCCAGGGGTTCTGGCTATTGGCTGTTTACATGGAGGCACCGAGATGGGGAATCACGGGGAAGGGGCTTTGAGCATGGTAAGCCTGGGGCACCTTTGTGGTACTGGGGGGAAAATGTCCACATGGCAGTTGACATAAAAGGCAGAAGAAAAGTCAGGGCTAGAGACCTTCAGTTTGGAGTTGAAGGTGTGAAAGGGAATGAGATCGTTGAGTCAGCCCATCCACAGCATCGAGCACCAGGAAGCGGGCTCCTCTCCCCACGGGGGAGGAGAAGTGGAAAAGAGTCACTGCCTTCAAGGGGGCTGCACTCAAGTCAGGGTGGGGAGGAAAACAAGACGTGAAACAAATAAGTGAACGCAGTGGTCTCCTCTATTGCCAAACGCTAGGAATGCGACGTTGCTGGTAAACTGCAAGGTGGTGTGACAACTTGAATAATTTTTTCATGAAGAACTGTAGAAATTTTCATTAAAAACAGAACAACTTTTACACTTAAGCAAGATAGTTATTGTTATATAACAAAGGAGACATTTCACCATAGGAAGAGACTCTAATGTTCTAAGAATAGAAGGGAAAAAAATAACTACTCAAGACTGAGAGAACCTTTAATACTAGATTAGCTTTTAAGAGGGAAGTTAATTAGATAAGAAGAAGAGGTAAAAATGGGTAGACCATCAGAGATGGGAGAAATTCTACATTTGGCCAGGTGTGGTGGCTTACGCCTGTAACCCTAGCACTCAGGGAGGCCGAGGCTGGAGGATTGCTTGAGATCAGGAGTTCGAGACCAGCCTCAGCAAGAGTGAGACCCTATCTCTAATAAAAAATAGAAAGAAATTAGCCAGGGGTGGTGGCGCATGCCTGTAGTCCCAGCTACTCAGGAGGCTGAGGCAGGAGGATCACTTGAGCCCAGGAGTTTGAGATTGCAATGAGCTATGATGATGCCACTGCACTCCAGCCTAGGCAATAGACCAAGACCCTGTCTCACAAAAGAAAAAAGAAATTCTGCAATTAATGGGGGAGACAGGTATGTGGGAATGTAAAGACATCATGTTGCTTTTTCTACATGAACACGTGCATATGAGGATATATGCACAACCCCTGGAGCCACAGACACCTGGCGAAAGCCGGTGTGCCGGGGGAGGGGGCCGCCGTGCTGAGCGGCAGAGGCAGCAGGACCTGCGGGCCGGGGAGACAGAGGTAAAGGAAAGACCGGCCAACATGCCATTGCAGTGTGGAATGAGCGAGAAAGGAAGACGGTGGGGCTGTAAGAGAATACACGGGGCCCTCGCTTGGTTGGAGGGGTCACCAGCCAGCATTTCAGGCCTGTTCCCAGATGACCCACGGAGTGAAGCAAAATTGGATGTGATATTTAGAAAATTTGAGGTTCACTGGTGTTAATTACTAAGTTAGCGAAATAGCCTCGAGGGGCAGCCAGCGCAGGCAGGTAGGTAGCCAGAGGCGACGGTTCATGCCAGAGGCCGCGGAGGGAGGGATGGCAGGTGTTCTGGGGAGGGCGGCTGGCCCGTCACGTGTTGTTGGTATGAGCCCTGCATGGACCTTTCTGCTCCCCAGGGGGCGCTGCGAGACAACAGCCTGGGGTGGTGTCGCACCCGGCAGCCACCTGCAGACGGCTGAGCAGTGGGAGGGAGCAAACGGGGTGGGAAGTGAGGATTGCGTGACACAGCCCTGCCCCTGCGGAAGCCCTGCGCGCAGAGTGGGTCGGAACCTGCGGAAGGTCCGCCGGGCGGTTCTTCATCAGACGTGAGACTGCTGGGAAGGGAACGCAGGTGCCCAGAGCCGCACCGCAACGGGGAGACGCTGGCGCCCGCGTGCCCTTGGGGATCTCCCTGTTCCCAGAAGTATCAGAGGGAGAAAGTGACTGTGTGGCCGAGGTGGTGCAACCAGGAAGGAGGCCTCTGGTCTCCCTCGACGGGTCCACACATTCCGGGTTGCTCTTTGCTGTGGCCCTAGTGATGTCAACCGTCCTCCCCAGCAGAAGGCTGTTTGAGTGACTGGGTCTGAAATGTGGGTTTATGGGAAAACTGAGCATGAAAAGGCTGGGCAGAGCCTGTAAATGCAGATGTGGGAACCTGCGCCAGATCGGAGGCTCTCCAGCTCTCCAGCTGCTGCTTGTGCACGCTGGGGGATGCCACCTTCACCAGGTGGGGTGAGACCTGGGGCAGCAATTCTCAACCAGCCCGATGATCTGAGTGTCCCTGGGTCTGTCCCCAGGGCTCCTGAGTAAACTCTCTGGAGATGAGGAGGACACAGGCCTCAGAATCGGTCTCTGTGGAGCCTGTCCAGTTTTGGGAGCCACTGAGCTAATGTAATGTTTTTTAAAGTATGCTTTTATTGGAAATTCCAAAGTCCCTAATTGTTTTTCTCTTTCCCCTTTCATCTAGGCATTAGGAAATCATGAATTTGATAATGGTGTAGAAGGACTGATTGATCCACTCCTCAAAGAGGCCAAGTTTCCAATTCTGAGTGCAAACATTAAAGCAAAGGGACCACTGGCAACTCAAATATCGGGACTTTACTTGCCGTACAAAATTCTTTCTGTTGGTGGTGAAGTTGTGGGAATTGTTGGATACACTTCAAAAGAGACCCCTTTTCTCTCAAATCCAGGTATTTTCTCCTTTTACAGCACTCATTGCTTGGAAACAGAAGCACTGAATCATAGCTTGGCATGATTTTTATGGACTGTAGATAAAAGTGGGAACAATTGGGCTAGTAATGTACTTAGGATGACACTGATAAGACCATCTGGTGGACTCTGCATTGTTCTGAGTTACTTCTTAAGGACATTTCCTCTTCTGCTCAATGAACTTCTTTGTTAACACAAACAGTATCTTTGTTTAATCCAGTGCGTTCAAAATTGGAAGAGAAGACCATTTATATCCAGTGCTAAACAGTACAGATTTATTTGCTAGGGAATGAGAGCCCTGAAACGCACTGCCTTCTTCCTGGGGAGCCCGGGAGCCCAGAGCTGGGGTTTCACCTCAGCCTACCTTATCTTTCCTTTTCTGGCATGATTATTACATGTCTAGTTGACTCTCCTTTCTCCCTTTTCATTATTTATCTCTTGTTTTAATGATGCTCTTGAACCTGGCTTTCTAGGAAGTATATATATATATTTTCTTGAATGGTCTTAGATATATTCTAATGTATATCTGTCTCATATGTCTGTCACATATGTGTGTATATGTATGTAATGCACACATACATATGGCCATTCAAGAAACAATTTGATTAGCTGGGTACGGTGGCACACACCTGTAGTCCCAGCTGCTCAGAAGGCTGAGGCAGGAGGATAACTTGAGCCCAGGAGTTCAAGGTTGCTCTGAGCTAGGATGACACCACTGCACTCCAGCCTGGGCAACAGAGTGAGACCCTGTCTCCAAAAAAAAAGGAAATGATTTGGAGCCACTTTTATACGAACACTTTTATCAAAACACTCTGGCAGTGAGAACAAAAATGACGTTTTCTCTAAACTATCCAAATTTCCAAATTAAATGTCTTTCCACGTTTGAAGAATAAAAGGGAAACTAGGAGCTAGTATTATCCAGAAACATTTTTCATAACTGATAAGGGCAGATAATTAACAGTTCAAAAAAATCTGTATTTATTTTTGTTGTTGTTAAGTCTAGGCCATTGGAAACAATGACCAAAGGGTCGGCTGTGTGAGACCTGGCACAGTGAGCAGGCCCTGCAGCCGGCATGACACAGAGGTTGAGGCAGGCTGGGGCGGCCTTGGGAGGGGCAGTGAGTGACACGAAGGGACTTGCTTAAGAACGCTGTTCCTGAGGTCAGGTAGACTTGCTGAACAGCCACCTCGGCCCTGCTGAGGGTGTGTAAAGCATCTTGGGGCAAAGGACATTCCAGAAGTGAGGTCAGAGCCAGTGCTAGGATGCCTGCTCCATGAGGGCCGGGATCTTAACTGCCTCGATGGACTGAGCACAGTGCCCAGAATATGGTACGTTCTCAGACGATGTTGCTGGAATGAACGCGTGAGAGCAGGAAAGCGTAGGGACCGCAATCACAAAATAGCAGATAGTTCAGTTTCCTGGAACATGAGTTCTGAGCAGAGAAAGCTAAAAACTGGGTCAGGGCTTGATTATGGCTGAGAAATTCAGCTGTGCTTTGGAGGAAAGTAGTATTGTCCCTTCTCTAATTGTCACCACTAAGAAAGTCAGAGATGGGGGTGTTGTTGGAGAGACTCGGGGGCTCCAGAAATCAAACTACCCCAGCTGGGATTCTGACCAGTCCTTTACCAGGCTGTAGCAGAGAGGGGATCCAAAGGGATAATGCTTTTTCCAGAAGCTCCAGGACGAGAGGGGCTGGATCGTGGAGAGCCTAGTGTGGGGGAAAGGGGTGGGGTGGAACAGAAGATTCCCGGGAGTGCCAACTTCCAAGACCACAGGCTCAGCAGCCCAGCGTGACTTCTTCCTGCAGATCTCTGGCCCCTAACCAAGCCCAGTTCTCCCAGTCCTAGTGACCTGGCCATCCACAGGCCATTTCTAACACATACGTTTATCTTAGCTAGGTAATGAAATTTCTGTAATATAACTCTCCTCACCACATCTCAAAAATATATTCCAGGCTTTGTATATAGGTGATGCCTGGTCCTTGTGAGGTTTCTGTGAACACATTCTTTTGTCCTTAGAGGTATTCCTCTGAACTTTTCTGTTCCAGCCAAACCAAAGTACTGCATGGCAGTATTCTCTCAACCTGCATTCATTCCCCTGAGTACCTGTCTATGTGCCAGGCACCAGGAATACTAACCAAAAAATTCTTGTCTGCTGGAGCTTACATGTTTAGTGGAAGAATAAAAGAAAAGAGCGAAATGCTTGGTGTGTCAGAAGGTGGTAAGTGCTGTGGAGAAGCAGGAGAGGGAATGGAAAGTGAGGTGTGGGAGAAAATCCACCTTGCCGTTTTAAAGAGCTGCTCAGGGAAAGGCTTATAGAGGAGGTGACATGGCACTGAAGGGTCACCGTGGGTCCTGGGCTTCTTGGGGTGACCAGCAAGATTATCCGTGATGTTCTCGTGACAGACAATGGTGGTAAAGCTGTTACAACTCCTGGTTTGTAAACATCGCCTGTAAGTTACTGACAACACTGCCAGTCTGACACATCTGTGAGCTGCTAATTTTCAGGCTGTCAGTCTGGGGCCTCCCTGGCCGTGACACCAGCCATGCTGTTTATCTTCCATGATCATTGGCACAGGTGCAGTTGACTAAAGGTAGGACCCAAGAGTGCCCCGCTGAAGCACACAGAGACTCCTAAACATCACAGTGTAACAAGGGATGCGTTTTTAATAGTCTTGTTGCTCTTTGGAAAGATTAGCACTTTTCAAACTGGAGTTCACAGACTCCTACGTTTTGAAAGTTCCCAGCAAGATGTTACTCATTTTTTGGCATGGGCATGTTGAGTGTAGTGCTGGTTCTTAGAAGTTAGCATAAGGGAGTCGAGATCAACTGGAGGACTCCCCTGTAGCAGAGTACTGGACAAAACTTCAGGACAGCATGTCTGTCTGTATTTGCAGTCATGCCAGTCAAAGCTGTAAGGGCTCAAGGCTTGCTGAGCTGTGGTTGCAGAGCCAGGAGGAAGAATCAGGCATCTTGCTGCGTTCAGGCTATGTAGTCAGACCCGTGCTCACCGGTGGATACCAACAGGCGATCGTTTATCCACCAAGCGGGGGAGTAAGCAGCCAGGGAAGAATGTACACACTTCCAGTGCCAGCAATATTTAGAAGGCCCCATTTAATGCAGAGCTCAGTAATGCTGCGATGCTGACATTAATTTAAAGTAAACAAGACAAAATTATTACCGGCCATGTTAAAATTGGCATTCAAGGACCAATGCTGACACTTTTAACTTATCCCAGATTTTCATCCAGTGCCCTGCAGTTACTAATACTGTTTTGTGCATCATGCTTATGTGCTCAGGCATTTTCTGCATTGGTGTTATGGAGGTCTAGATATAAAAACAAACCATATCTGAAGCCTCCTGATACTTTGAGATTGAGTTTGAGCAAAATAATATCACCCACAACCTTAAATTAATGCAACATAAAGTGAATGTAAATGAGGATATTGATTTGAATTTTTATTTGCTTCTTACAGGATTTGTCTTTAACACATAAATGTATTTTTTCTTACTTAAGACATTGGCATGTTAGTATGTATAATAAGCAAGATAATAAAAATTGTTAATAAATGTTCATTTTCTTTATTTTATTCCTTAGGAACAAACTTAGTATTTGAAGATGAAATCACTTCATTACAACCTGAAGTAGATAAGCTAAAAACTCTAAATGTGAACAAAATTATTGCACTGGGACACTCTGGTTTTGAAATGGATAAACTCATCGCTCAGAAAGTGAAGGGTGTGGATGTCGTGGTGGGAGGACACTCCAACACATTTCTTTACACAGGTAATTGTTCCAAAAGGATCACGTGGGCCAGGATGTCCACACAAGTGACTTTGTCTCTTTTGCCTTTGTAGTTGTTATTATTAATGATATTTAATATGTAATATATGTTATATAATCTAAAATGCACTAAATATGTAATACACATTGAATGGGAACAGGTGTAAATCTTACTCAGAGACTACTAGGAATAATTTATTGGTTTCATGATTATAAGTCAATTCCACTTATTTATGTATATTGTAAACATAAATAAAATGTGTGTGAAACATATATATACTGTATATATAAAACAAAAAGATTACTGAGCCCCAACCAAAAGTCAGTTTATTCTAGACTCATATCAAAAAGCAACATGTCATATAAAAAAATTTAAGCATCAACAGGCCGGGCGCAGTGGCTCATGTCTATAATCCTAGCACTCTGGGAGGCCGAGGAGAGATGATTGCTTGAGCTCAGGAGTTCGAGACCACCCTGAGCAAAAGCGAGACCCTGTCTCTACTATACATAGAAAGAAATTAACCAAACAACTAAAAATAGAAAAAATTAGCTGGGCATGATGGCACGTGCCTGTAGTCACAGCTACTTAGGAGGCTGAGGCAGCAGGAGCTTGAGCCCAGGAGTTTGAGGTTGCTGTGAGCTAGGCTGACACCACAGCACTCTAGCTGGAGCAACAGAGTGAGACTCTGTCTCAAAAAAAAAAAAAAAGAGAGAGAAAAAGCATAAACAAAATAATATAAATGGCGTCTTTATAGCCCAAGGTGATGGGATTTGATTTGTAGGTTGCACAGGTAGCAGAAGCTGGAACTGTGGTTTGAGTCTTAACTGTGCTTCGTCCTAGGACTGCAGGTATCCTGGAAGCCACGTGGCTCCTGGACAGCATGCACTGTCACTACCTACCTCACCACCCTTCCCTCCCTCCCTCTCTCTCTCTCTCTCTCTGTCTCAGCTTGGTGTTAGGTAGTTCTAGTTAGAAACCCTCTTTTGGTTTGTTTGTTTTTTCCATTCTGAACCTATGACATCCCAAAACTTTAGAGTCTGCTTCCATCTTTCCCACTGCCCCCCACTTTAGTGAACGTTCTCAGTGTGGGTAACATTGCAACCACACAGCTGAGAGCCCCTCAAATAGCTCCAGGAGGGTTAAGTGGATGGCAGAGCCCAGGCCAGAGATGCTCACTGGCGCAGGCCGCTGGGCAACACTGGGCAGTGGTGATGACGACCCCACCACTAACCAGTGCTGAGATCCTGTCTGTGCCCCATTTCCCTCTTCAGTGGAATGAGGCCGGGAACAAGAGTTCCTGTTGTAAAGGGTCATTGTGACTCAGTATACGTAATGGGTGATGTAGGTAAAAGGCCTCAAAACACTAGCTGTTCTTATTTCAGCTGTGTGTCAGCTCTGTGGATAAGACCTGTGTTAAATCCTTCCCAAGGCTTTTCTTGCATTTTCTCTGAGGCTATGTCAGCACCCTGGGACACACAGTGGGAGCTCGATGTGTCTCCTGCCCTCTCATCCTTAGAGTAGTGGCTTCAAACCTTTTCAACTATGATCCATACTAAGAACAGCATATACATGAAGACCCAGCTCACACATGCACACATGTGTGTGCAGTCACATACAAACACACACAGGGACACACACATGCACACTCACATACACATACATACACAGACAAGTGAAAGAAAACCTTCGCAAAACACCTGGATTGCACCCTGACATTTTCTGTTCTGCTGTTTCATATTTTTTAATGCCAGTTTCTACTTATTAAATTAATTTGCTTGTATTGTAGCTAACTCACATTTTTAAAAACTCAGCTTCACATGAGGCATGACCAAAACAGTGCCTGAACAATCAGAGGAGTCCCACTCCTCCACTCAGGTACTGAAGTCATTGCTGCGCCCCTTGACTTATCTGTACACCATCTTACCCGATGACATCTTACAGCAACAGTTGGTCACCCCCAGCCTATGGTGTGTGCCCATCAGTTAGTGTGCACTGATAGGCCTGAAAATCTTGGATGACTGTACCCGGCTTCCCATTAGTTCTGCAGCTGGTCCTTTGTTCCTGTAACCATATAGTCACCCCTTAGTATCCACGGGGGACTGGTTCTGGGAATCCCTGTGGATACCCAGATCCATGGATGCTCCAGTCCCTCATATAAAATGGCATAGTATTCACATAGCACTGATGCACTTCCTCCCAGATACTGTAAATCATCTGTAGATTACTTATAATACCTAACAAAATGTAAATAGTTGCTATACTGTATTGTCCAGGGGATAGTGACAAGAAAAATAGCCTGTACATGTTCAGTACAGATGAAACCATCCATTTTTAAAAAGTATTTTTTGTCGGCTGTTGGTTGAATCCAGAGATGCAGAACCCACAGATACAGAGAGCCAACTGTATGTGCCTTGCTAAGTAGACAAATCTAGTTAATGATGAATGGCTGGATGAAAGAAAGATTTGAGGATAAAAATTATAGTTTGCTTATCCATAAATCTTGAAGTAGATAATTACAGTCTTTGAGAAAACTGAGATAACTGAGTCTTAGTCATTTATTGCACATTTCATGATTGCTTACCAAGATTAATCTTGTTCTCATGAAAATCTTTGATTTTGATACTCATTGTTTTGAAGAGTGAACTTAATTAAAAGTAATTCCAGGACACAGTAGGGATGAGGTATATTTGCGTATTTAAATAAATTTTCCCAGCCTTAAAACAGAAACTCCACTGAATCATTTTCTGGACTTGCCATGAAGTTAAAATAATGAATCTGTTACATGTGATTAATTAAAATATAGTTAAAATAATACATCCCTTGGAATTTTAAATCTTACTGAGAACCATTACAGTACATACAGGACCCAATATTCAAACACCCTGGAAAGAAAACTTTTCCAAAGTGCTTGGATTGCACCCTGATACTTTCTGTTCTGTTATTTAATTTTTTAATGTCAGTTACCACCCATCACATTAATTTTATTATATTGTAGCCAACCTGTATTTTTTAAAACTCAGCTTTACATGAGGCATGACTAAAACATTGCATGAACCGATCGCCTCCACATGTTGATAGTCATCCCAGTTTCTTTTGATTCTAAGAACTGTGCACATGCAGATAACCCTAGCATTGTCTGCCCATTCTCACGGCACAGGGTAGAGGAGAGGATGTCCCCCTACCAGGCTTACGGAATGTTAAAGCTGCAAGAATTAGGGCTAGCATGCAAAAGCTTTCCCTAACGGAGTTAAATCCTAGAGTCATGAACTGGTTCATTTTGTTGCCTTTAGAGAAAAAAGTAGTGCAGTGAGTGCAGGTTGAAGCCTGCAGCTGGGGGACTCTATTCACTGTGCCACCCTCGAAGGGACTCCCACGATGCTGTCTCTTTGCCTCCCAATATTTTAACTGAATTTTTAATTCTGCAGGTCAATCTGACTAGCTGTGGCTTTGGGTGAGTGTAGGCATCAGTTTCTATAACTGCAAAGTAAAGGGGTTAGAATTGTTGATTCTGTGATCCCTTCCATCCTGTTCCCTAGAAAGTTATCTGTGCATAGAGCTTGATTGCTTACTTTGCAAGATTTGGGGGAGTAAAAATAAAAATTGGTACAACACCTTATAACACCTATAATAGGCTACTGCAGTGAACTTATGCCTCCAACTGCTCTGAAGCACAGACTACCTTTCTCTTCCTATCCCTGTCATCTGATGGCCTCCAAACAATCTCCCCCACATCCCTGAGAATTTAGCATTCAATTTCCCATCTTCTTCTCCACCCTAGCTCCTGCCTTCATCCTGGCAGGGTGTCCATGTGGCTGGCTGATCCAATACCAAGGTTCAGAGTCCCTTAAACCCTGTAAGCCCAGGACTGTCACATCTACTCTATTTCAGCATCTTCATTTCTGGGGCCACAGCCTGGACTTGGTCAACCCCCAAACTTTGTTCTCCAACTCTCTTGTCATGGACTCCTCTCCCTAAAGCTTTCTCACCCCCTTATTCCTTTCAGAGCTGACCGTCAGCCATATAAGCCTCGTATTTGTTGAACTCCTCTTTCTCTCCCAGTCCAGCTAGTTTCATGTCTCTCTTCTTGCCAGTCTGGAAGCATCCATCATACTTTGGGCCATGCCATGGCTGACACACAGAAGGAAAGGTGTCCAGTGTAGTTAAATGAATGTTAACAGGGCTGTTTCTTTAAAAGTAAGATTTCTTTATTTGATGGATCTGGATATTTTTATTACGTACCTAATTGGATTTAGATATACATTTGATGAATATAACATTCAACCTTTTTCATTTAAAGAGCAGAAATTATTTTAATGACTACAGAATTTTGCTCTTAAAACAAATAGGCCGGGCGTGGTGGCTCACGCCTGTCTTCCTAGCACTCTGGGAGGCCGAGGCAGGCGGATTGCTCGATGTCAGGAGTTCGAAACCAGCCTGAGCAAGAGCGAGACCCCGTCTCTACTATAAATAGAAAGAAATTAATTGGCCAACTAACATATATAGAAAAAATTAGCCGGGCATGGTGGCGCATGTCTGTAGTCCCAGCTACTCGGGAGGCTGAGGCAAGAAGATTGCTTGAGCCCAGGAGTTTGAGGTTGCTGTGAGCTAGGCTGATGCCACGGAACTCACTCTAGCCTGAGCAACAAAGTGAGACTCTGTCTCAAAAAAAAAAAAAAAATAGAGTTCACAACATAATTATAAATTAGACAAGCCAAGGACCTGCTGCATGTCCTTCCCGCTGCCACCAGGGCAGGTGCACAGCCGATGGGCTGGACCCGTCGCTGCTGTATTAGAAGAAGTGAGGGAGGGTGAAAGGCTGCTGTTGGTGTTTGCAGTCATTGTCGACATCCCATCGATTTTCATCCTTGTAGTTTAGATAATCTTGCCTTGTAGAACAAGAAGACAATTTTATCATTTACCACATTCACAGGAGAGGGAAGGAAACACTCTCTAACAAAGAACCATTTCCTTTGGGCCTTTTACAAGGACCGCTGACGTCTGT